GAACTCTTGCAACTTGTTTGGAGGATACGTCCGTCAAACCAACGATGCATTTGAATCTGAAAATTAGCAAAGTGATCAAAACTCGTGGGGGTGGGGTGGGATTTTTGGGCAATTTTTTATTACATGCGGGACCCACCCATGTGAGTTATATGTAAAAAATTTGTCTAACAAAAATCGGTACAAGTGGCGTAATACCTAATCCATCTGAATCATGAACAAAGTCTGCAATAAGTGATTTCCCTCTCTATTACAAATTTACAGTATGGTCAAATTACAGTAAGTAGCATGCATCTGATCTTCAAGAGTAGACTATTCACAAACAATCTTGAAACTAAAATAAAGTATTTAAATCCCAATCCACAAGGGAGAAGTATAAATTAGCCAAAATAATTAAAACTATTCAAATTACAGTAAGTGGCTAATTATCTTTACATATGACACAAGGCAAAGCATTCAAAAACGATAATTACGTTTGGCACGATAATCTCTTTACCTTGATTTCACTCTTATTTTGAAAAATTGTCAAGAAAGTAGGATTCAAAGTTCCTTTAATGGCCTTTGAGTCTTCATTTTATATGAACAAGTCACAAGGACAATCAGGTTACGAAATTCTTATTTTCCAAATTTGTCAAGAAAGTAGGAAGTCTGCAGACAAAACATGAAAACAAAATCTCAAAAAGCTTTGGAATTTATGAAAACAGGAAATTTGCAAAAACCATTACACCTTATTCGTATGAAATCCAAACAAAATAAATTAATATCCGATTCAAAAGCCAGTGAAAGGAATGCAAAAGTAACAATAGAATGAATTTCAAAATATTATTACCGGAAGGAGAACACAATTTAAAATCAGAAATTACCAAAATGAAGTAACCACAGAACTAGCAAAATAGAATAACAAAAAAAAAAAACTGATGTTGAGAAAAAATTTTACACCCATATTTATAGAGGATCCATTGTTGCAGCAGATGTAATAACCCCAAAAAAGAAATTTTATTTTACCTTCTTAAGGAACACTACAAAAAAACTTGGATCCAGCGACCAAAAACATTGGTCACTAAAGGTTACTTTTTGGTCGCTAAAGCTTTCCAGCGACCAAATAACTGTGGTTGCTGATTGGTCTGTAATTCACCGTTGGGGAAGCTTTCCAACGACCAATAAACTGTGGTCGCTAAATATGTATCTTACATCGACCAATTGTTGGTTGCTAAAAGGTTCAATCGTGTTGGTTGATTCGTCATAGTGAACGCCTTTTGCAACCAATATCGTAGTCGCTAAAAGGTTCCACCGTGGTTGGTTGATTCATAGTAGTGAACGTCTTTTGCAACCAATCTCTTGGTCGATAAATGTTACAGCCTTTAGCGACCAAGACTGTGGTCGCTAATAGTTAACATCCAACAACCAAATTGTGGTCGCTAAATGAAAAATTGATTAATTTTACACCCTTTTGCAACCAATATTTGGTCGGTGAACATTGATATCAATCTTTTAATATCCAATATTTTTTATTCCTGATAATATTTTATCCAATATTTCAATTTCCAAAAACCCCGAAGACAGTTGACATTAACAATTTCGATAATCGGAAAAAATAAAAATTAAAAAGAAACATCGTTACAGAAGTAAAATTGTATTGCACATATTTCAAGTATTAATAGTGAATACATAACCCTAAATGACTAATATTTATTTGCTAAATATATAAATAATGACTTCAACACTAGATTGAGTTGTCCAAATTACATCAAGCTGAGCTGTAGAAGGCGTTGAGACAAGAATGTGTAATTGAT